GTTAACAGGGCGAGGTAGGCGGCTTTCACTCCTGCCAGAACCCAAAAACGAAAGAAAAAAACAAAAAAAAATGGGAGGGCCTGCTAGGCCAGTTGGATTCCATCGGGATTTTACGGGCATCAGGTCTTGAACCGGCACCTTCTGCCACAGGAACGAAGTCTCATAACCACTACAACCCTTGGAGGTGTTATAAAAACTGGATTCATACCGGTAGTGATATCCAGCCCACCCCCAGGGCTTTAGTGTCCTTGCGGACTCAGCAACACACGCACACTCCGTTCACATAGCACACCAAGGCTACTATGCCTGGTCACCACGGCGGGACTTCAACTGCCCGCAGGTTCCACAGGCGCATTTCACAGTTGGATTCCAACGGGATTTTACGGGCATCAGGTCTTGAACCGGCACCCTCTGCCACAGGAACAAAGTCTTGTTACCACTATAAAAGTTGGATCCATAAGCAGCCCACCCCCAGGGCTGTAGTGTCCTTGCGGACTCAGCAACACACGCACACTCCGTTCACATAGCACACCAAGGCTACTATACCTGGTCACCACGGCGGGACTTCAACTGCCCGCAGGTTCCACAGGCGCATTTCACAGTTGGATTCCAACGGGATTTTCAGGTCTTGAACCGGCACCCTCTGCCACAGGAACAAAGTCTCGTAACCACTACAACCCTTGGAGGTGTTATACCAACTGGATCCATACTGGTAGTGATATCCAGCCCACCCCCAGGGCTGTAGTGTCCTTGCGGACTCAGCAACACACGCACACTCAGCCCACCCCTGCTAGGCCAGGCCACGTCCCGTTTTTGCTGATTATTGAACCTGTAGGCCGTATACCGAGCAGTTCACTGTTTTTCTTGCTGTTTTGAACTGCTCACGGCCCAATCTTGCGGTGGACTGTTATTTCTGCGAATTCTGAACTGTGCAGCGGTCAGAGGCGCAGTTGTCTCATATATCTTTCTTGGAAGTGTTGTAATGAATCTTTTCCTTAACTATTTCCCATTGGTACAAGATATCCGTTTGAATTTGTTATCTGATATTTTCAGTAAACTCAGGACCATCCAATCTAGCACCTTCCCCCATTCGTTAGTGCATCTCCTTTGCCACATGGCCCGAAGGATCGCTCTCCTACCCAGGATAAACAGGTTCTGAGTAAAGTCATCTGTCTGATCTGGAGACCATACTTCCAGTAGGATTTCTTTCCAACCCCATGACCTTTGTGTCTTCGTACCCAGTTGACTCCTGACCTGATCCCACGTTTGGGCTCGGTCGATTTGGGCCACGTTCGAGCTCGATACCGCTTGATACCGAGTGTTACCGAGTGTTCGGGTTCGGTCACCAAGCCTGAACGTGATGCTACGCAGGTTGCAATGATGAAAGCACCATGGTTGAGATGGAAACTGAAGGCAATGGCAATGGATGATTTGATTAAACTTTTTTATGCCGCTGAAACTTTTTTTTGCAGAAAGGATCGAGTGTTGCAGCAAAAAAAAATGTTGATACTGAATCTAAAAGAAGGATGGGCTTCAATATCAGTAAGAGGGTTATTATTGCTGTTACATATGACTGTGATGTAGATCACAGAGCATTACGTCAACTGATTGAAGGCAAATTGGGGAAACTCACCTAGCAGCCCCAGGGCAACTGCTACGACGGAGGACTGGATAGTGTGGAAGAAGAACTGCACTATCGGGAAACTTCTTCACAACCACCGCACATATGCCCAGGAGTTTGTGGCCATCTGCGCACAGGCAACGCTTCCCGAACAGGAAGGTCACATCCAATTCAGACTGGGGGAACTGAGTGGGATTCATCCGTTTCTGAAGAAGGGCAAGAACATTGTACGCTGCATTCAATATCTGCCTGAATCTAGGTTGCTGGCAGAGGTAAATGAAGGGTTCAGAAAAGGAGGCACTCTGCCATGTGACAGACGAGAGGTTCAGTGCTGCATGAAGACAGGTAAAGTTTAACCTCCAATCGTTTATTTTTCCGGGATGCTGACTGAACTAAAGATTAAATTAGATGGGTCCGTACGAATGCCGCTGGATAGAAACGTTGCTGAAACGTACGTCATGTGCCCAGTCCTGTATGCAGAGGGGATGCGGAAAACCTTCCGGCAAAACCCGGCCTCATCAGCAATCGGGACCGATGGCGAAGTACTGCTAGAGACGATGCATCATCGATATAGCACAGAAAGTTTGACAGCTATCGGGTGGTGGAATTGGAAAGGGAGACTGGGACAGGCATATATTATGCCCAAAGATAAGGATGTGACAAGATTCC